ATTGCGAGTTTGATGAAAGCCCTGTTGGACATATATGAGAAGTCCTTTGCGATCAACAAGGTTTATTTAATGCGACATTTGTTTAACTTAAAAATAGGTGAAGGTGCGTCAATTGCTAATCATATCAACGAATTCAATATAATTATTGGTCAATTAAGTTCAATTGGCATTAACTTTGAACATGAGGTATGTGCTTTAATTTTATTATCCACATTGCCTGATTATTGGAATATTATTGTTACTGCTATTAGTAATTCATTTAGGTCAACAAGCTTAACATTTGATAGGGTTCATGATTTGATTCTAAGTGAGGACATTCATAAGAGAGAATCCGATGAACCTATATATATGGTTTACATATAATTGTTTTATGGGCCAACCTCTTACCATTGTAATGGTAAGGATTGTCCTTATACTTCCCGATTGACAACCGGTGAGAAAGTCTTAAGGAAATCTATTATGCTATTTGAGTATATCCCTTGGCAACCAATCTTGCTTTTAATTTGTATAATTAGCCTTCAACTAGGACTTATAAACTCATCTACATCCCGCAATATTAAAATTTGGAGGACGTGGAACAAGAGTTCAAGTTTTATTCCGATGCAGTGCCTGGATTTCCTCTTTCATTGCTGCCGACCACCGAGGATGTTTTAGAACAGAGCATTATCGCATGTAAATTAGCACACTTTGGATTTGGCTTCACAATGCCTGCACGTGCTTGAGCAATCATTGGATGATTTTGAGTGCAGGAATGTGCTAATGAAGAATCATAAATAGCATCCCGTGTAGAATTAGTAGGGTCTTGCAACATTTGCAAGGAACCATCAATAGCCAAGTTGCATGGGGAATTGAGTGAAGTACCAGATGAATCACCAATTTTAATATGAATTTGGTGATTATGTGATTCATCCTATCATTGTTGTCCTCATGAGAATTTTCATAAGTTGTAAGATTTGATGAGCCAACACACTCTTGATTTGAGTTGGTAGAAAACTCACCTTGTTGTAAGACGATAAAAAATTTGAGTCTGACGTTATCGTCTCATGATCTGACCATCTTAAAAATTCAGAGATCTCAATTTTTATCACTTTGACCCCAAAACAATGAGCTGGGCACGAGATATGGAACTACTGTCTCATAAAAAACGACATGACATGATGTATAAACTCGACTAGTATCTCTTATGTTGATCATTGTAGCCAAGAAACACACATGGAAATGATTGAGCATCGGATTTATTCTTCATGTAGTCCCTAAGATAAGGAAAGCACCTGTAACATAAAATTTAGCAAATAGTTATAATCTAGTTTCTTGCCAAATAAGAGTTCATAAGGTGATTTCATGCATAACAGCCCTGGAGGAAGTCTATTTCAGAGAAAAAACACCATCTGAAAGCTTTTCATCCAATACTTTTTAGGAATTCCACTTTGATAAAGCATAGTCAAGCTAATTTTAGAGATGTGCATATATTTTCACTCGGTAGCTCCATTTTGTTTCGGAGTATTTGGACAAGATGCTTGATAAACAATGCCATTTTTTGTAAATGAATTAAGAAATTTGTTCGGCTGAACTCTCCACCTCCATTAGATTGAAGATTTTGATATGCCTACTAAATTGCCTTTCCAAATATTTCTCAAAATTCATAAAGCATGCATAAAAGTCAAAGTCAAATGTTTGTTAGTAATGGAAACAACCAAGTATAACGTGTACAATGATCCACAAAGCAAAAATAGTACTGAAACTTTGGAAATGAGATAATTCCCCACAAATCGCAATGTATCTTTCAAAAGGCTTAGCGATATTGGAAGGCAAAAAAAAGGTAGCTCAGATGCTCGATCCATTTGACAACTATCACGTATGCCACGTAGGTTTATTTAAAGCAATTACCAAGATATTGCCTTCATTTTGTAGATGATGAATTGTTGTCGATTATGGATGTTCCAACCTTTAATGCCAAATACTCTCATTAGTTGTCTTGAACTAGTTTGAAAATAGTGATTCTTTTGGCAGCTTCAAGGTATATAAACCACCTTCACAATCTCCGACTATTAGAACCTTTATCGTTTTCCTGTCCTTTCCAGAGGATAGTCAATTGTAAATTAGTTCATTGATAATAAATTCTTTTTAATATGAGGAACAAGTAGAACATTTTTTTAAGTCAATTCTCTCTTTCGGGCCATTTCTTGAGCATTCTTAATAAAGAACAAATGGTGTAGTAAAACGCGATCTTGAATGTTGAGTCGGAAGCCATTGATGTACCTGGCAGTTTGTTGCGCCTCAAACTCGGCTAAGTTGTTGTGGGCGGAGAGTTAGAGAAACTATCCTGTGTAGACTTGGACTAATTGGCTTAGCTGCTTATAATTCTTGAATTGCCGAATCAATAATTGTTCACAGTCGGTTGGGACCTTCAACATTTGCTTTATCCGATTTCATATTTGGATAGGAGCTTTCCTTTATCGGCATTGGGTCAGTTGTGTTTGCTCCCATTAGATTGAGACATTGCCTTTCATCTTGTATGCCACCAGTTTTACTTTGCGGTCTTCTTTCATCTCCATGACATCGAAGAATTTATCAACTTCCTAAAGCCAGTCCAAAAAGTCTTCAATCTAGGAGGTCAACCTTAAGTTGATATTGCTTGAGGTCTAGTCGGTATAGCCGTTTTGATTAGGGGTGTAAAAAAAACCCGAGCCGACCCGGCCCGACCCGAAATTTTAGGATATTTTGGGGTTAGGTCTTATTTTCTCTGGGTATGGGTTTTAGATGTGGGTATTTATTAGGGTTGGGCCGGGCCAGGCCGGGCTGGGCTTTTTGGACCTGGCACCAAATATAACCCTTCCCCCCGCTCTCTCCCGTTCGCTCTTCTTCTCTCTCTGGTGGCCATGAACTTCTCTCTCCCTCTTTTCGCTCTCTTTGCTCCTCCTCGCCCTCGAGTTCGAGTTTGTGGCAATGGCGGCCGTGAAGTTTGCGAACATGGCCGTGGTGGCCTTCGTCCTCGCCCTCATGACGCTCGCCGTGACAGCCCAGGTCGAGGCCCCGGCGCCGCAGCCTTCTTCTCTTCGCCTCCTTCCTTGGGACTCTCCATCCAGTTTAGCCTCGACCGCGGCAGGAGATCGGAGGACGACCTAATCTTCCTCGCCTCCCACACCGCTGTCGGGATAGCGAAGTCGTCGATCTCGGACAGCCCCAGGTTTCGGCATATCCAATCGATCTCGCCCTCGCCCCCCTCGACCCGGAATCTCGTCTGCTCGAACAAGTCCAACGACCGTGTGTGGAGCGAGGCCGAGGCGGAGGATGAGGAGTCGTTGGGCGAGTGCGACGATGAGGACGCGTCGTAGTCGTAGTGCTTCATCGCGTTCCGGCGCTCAAGCCGCCTCTTCGTCCACCCCCAATTCGTCCCGGACTCCATCAGCTTCACTCTAGAGAAGAATCGAGGCATGTGGCAACCGCATAAGGCTTAGGGTTTTGGAACCCTAAACCCGACCCGACCCGACCCTATTCTTGGAATATATGCTAAACAGGGTCTTGGGTCGAGTCGGGTCGGGTCGGGTCGGGTCGAGCGTGACCCTGTATATTTCGGGTCGATTCGGGTATCATGAAAGCCCGACTCGACCCGACCCATTGACATCCCTAGTTTTGATGGCCTTCACGAACAGGTCCATCCAGGCACTCTTCTTCTTCTTCTTCCTCAACATAGGCTTGTCGCTGTTGTCGAGGATTCGCCCCACATTTTATAGCTACTTCCGGAACTTGAGTGGCCTAAGCATGTGCAGCCGGAAGATTATCAAGTATGGGGTTGGCGAACAAATGCTAAATGGCGATAAGTAAATTTTAAAACCTCGTTCACACCCTTAGCTACGGGGAGATTGATGATGATGTAGAAGAAGATAGACTTGAAAAATGATTTCAAAGGATAATGCTTATTCCGAATAATGAAGTACCCTTTTCATTATCTTAGGCGCCTATCTATAGCTGGTCGCCCTTTAGGAAACAATCAAATAATTAAAAGTAAATAACAGACTTAAGGCAGAAAAATATTGATAAAGAGGAAAGTTTTTAAAATACGTCCCGAAAATCTACAAAACATATCAGAAATCTTTGAAGACTCGGAAATCAAGGATCTACATCTTCAAAGATCTTCTAATCCTCTTTGATTTGATACGTTTTAAGAGTCCTAACTCTTTTTGAATAAAAAGTTAATGACCGTTTAAAGTTGGCCAGTCATTTAGAGCGTGGCCCGCCCGCTCTTACGACGCTCGTAAGTTTCCTATAAGGATTTTCTAGCTATCTCAAATCACAATTTTTTTTTTGAGAAGAATGGCGATAAGGAGGAAGATTGTGTTTTAAACGTGAAATAAAGGAAAGAGAAGCTAAAAGATTGAGATTTGATTTGGACGCGTTTATCTCCGTATTATATTTGGTATCTAAAATTAAATCATTATCCTATTCAATCTTATCTGATTTGAAAAAAAAAATTTCAAACGATCAAATATTTTTGGGATAAATATACTAGAAGTCCTAAAACTTATCATGAAAATGCAATTGAGTCCTAAAACTTTCAAAAAGTGCAAACAAATCCTAAAGCTTGTCACGAAAGTGTACTTGAGTTCTAAAACTTTCAAAAAGTGAAAATAAATCCTAAAACTTGTCACGAAAGTAAAAACAAGTCCTAAAACTTATCACGAAAGTCCAAACAAGTTCTAAAATTTTCAAAAGGTATAATCAATAGAAGGACTTGATTGAATCAATTTGATAAGTTTTAGGATTTATTTGCACTTTCGTGATAAATTTTAGGATTTGTTTACATTTTTTAAAAGTTTTAGGACTCAAATACACTTTCGTGATAAATTTTAAAATTTATTTACACTTTTTAAAAGTTTTAGAACTTAATTATACTTTCGTAACAAATTTTAGGACTTTGAATGCGCTTATCCTTTGGAGTACTTATTACTCTAGAGCATTAGATCTCCACAACTACTTCTCGTCCTCAAAACAAATTGGGTCACGTCACCATCGGCCCGCAGCTCCCGCCCTGGAAAAAAATGGACGGCCGAGGGCGGGTCCCGTCTCCGACATGCACCGCTCGCGTTCCGGCCACCTGACTCGGTCTCCGGCGCGAGATCCCGCACGCATTTTCAGTCTCCGTCTGTCGCGTCTCCGGCGTTGCTGAAGAAGAAGCCGAAAGGAGGGGGAAGCGCGAGAGAGAAAGAAAAGCAAAAAAAGCTTCTATAAAAAAAAGGAAGAGGAAGAGACGAGCGGCTTGAGGCGAAACGAGAGAGAGGGGGGAGGGCTTCGCCCATCGCCGGCGAGGGCGGCGCCCGAGGAGGAGGAGGAGGTCGGGACGGCGGCCAACCGTGAAGCGGGAACGAGGCGGCTTACGAAGGGGGTGAAAACGGGGCAGACGGCGTCGATCGAAGAGGCTAGGGTTTGCAGGGGGAAAGAGAGGGGAGCCGGCGGCGGAGGAGGGAGTAGAGAGGTTGGGGGGGACGGCGGCGGCGGCGGCGGCGGCGGCGGCGCTGTCGGAGGAGCCTTGGAGCTCGCGGCGAGTGAGGTAGGTGAACTGGACCGCTTTTTTAGGGGGGTTTCGCCCTGGCGTTTTTGCTTGTGAGCTTTTCTCCGATTTCTCTTTGGCTGGTTGAGAAAAAGAAGGAGCTTTGCAGCACAATTCGAAGGGATTCCATGAATTCACATCCCTATTCACAGCTAAAATTTGTTTTGAGAAAAGTCATAGATGGATTTATTTTGCGAAAAATGAATAATTTTAAAAAATATTTTTTAAAAAATGATCGATTATATTGCTCACGTATACGAATGAATGAAAAATATTTTTATTTTTTATGAAAATATTTTATATTTCTAGTAATATAAGTAATTATTTTTTAATTTTTTTAAATAATTAATTTTTCGCGAAATAAATGAAGTTATGAATAAGTCATAGGGCTTGTTAGGCTTTCTCCAAACAGTTTTTGATTTAAATGATAGGTCTGATCCTGCCGACCTATTTTCTCATTGAGCAAAGGGAATGGAAGATTGATTTTTCGATCAAAAGTTGTGAGTTTTTCTATATTTGTATGAATCGATATTATTACATTTCAATTTCTTCCCGATCCCTCCTGAATTGGATTCCAAATCGGGTTAGAATCCCTCTTTTTTTCATCCTCTTTCGCCCCAAAGTGTCGTAGGCACTCTTGATTAACTTAGGGGTTGAGTTGCTTGTTTTGCTTGTGCCTTATTGAAGTTGTGCAGCTTTTTTTTTTTATCAGCTGGTATGGAGCGACTATTTGAAGTCGGCCAAGAGGCCGAGATGAGATCTTTCAGTCCTGGTTTCCGGGGTGCTTGGTTCCGTTGTAAGGTACATTCACTCAACTAATCTTGGTAATGGCAATACATTCTTTTCTAAGTTCTTTATACTCAGTTTCTCTCTCTTTCAAAAACAAACACATAGATGACAAAAGCAGCTTTAACCACTAAGCCATTGCTTCACACCGTGCTAAATCTCCCCTCCGAGGCTTCACTAACACCACTCGCACGTGCACCTCAATGATTCACCTCGCATGTGAGTATAGGCATCGTTTTACACAATCATATCTTAAACCATATTGCTGGTCTTGCTACTCCTATCAATGAATAAGGAAAGAGGAAGCTTCTAGAGCTTTGAAAATGATGAAGAATTTTGAAAAGCAGTGCACCTTGATGGTATACCAATTGAGGTGTTGTAGTTTATGGCAGAGATTGGTGTGCCTTGGCTTACAAATCATTTCAATGGAATCTTGAGATCGAATAACATGCTAGATGAGTGAGGGGGAAAAAATGCTGTGGTCCCTATCTACTAGATGAAAGGTGACATTTAGAATTGTGACAACTGTAGAGGGGTTAGGCTAGTGAGCAATATTATGAAGCTTCAGGAAAGTGTATACGAGCACAAGCTGAGGTATGAGACACATATTTCATACAAAAAATTTGGTTCTTGCCAAGAAGATCAACTATGGATGGAAGGATGGTGGCTATTTATATGTTTCAAAGATTGATGGAAAGATATAAGAGTAAAGGATTGGCTTACGGTATTATTAATTCGGAGAAAGTTTATGATAGAGTACAAAGTGAAATTCATTAGAGATTCTCAAAGAAAAAGGGGCATGTATATATATATATATATATATATATATATAGAGAGAGAGAGAGAGAGAGAGAGAGAGAGAGAGAGAGAGAGAGAGAGAGAGAGAGAGAGAGAGAGAGAGAGATCTCAAGGTTACACCAATGGTTAGCTTGCTTGGAGTCCTTATCTTTTTGCTTTGACGTGACGAGTTGGCAAGGCGTATCGAAGTACGTTTTTTTGTGGATGATATAGTGCTGGTGGATTAAACGCAAGGAGTTAACACAAACTCGACCAAAAAAAAAAGGAACTCAGTGCTCGAAGACAATATATGGAGTCTAACTTTAGTATAAGTAGAAGTTCAAAGGAAATCTAGGTGGGAAGGACCGACTAGAAAGTCACAAGGAGCGAATTTTCAATACACAACAACGACAACAACAGCAACCTAGCTTTGCTCCCACTAAGTGGGTTTGCTGTATGATCTTATTATGCCATTGCCCTTGATCTTTGCTCTAAGTCCTTATCTTTCGGCCTTGATTATAGATGAGCTGACAAGACATCCAAGATGCTGTTCCTGGGTATGCTTTTCACAGATGACATAGTGCTGGTAGATGAAACTCAAGTTAGGGTCAACCAAAAACTCGAATTTTGAGGGGAAACTTTGGACTCTGGAGGGTTTTTGACCGAGTCAGACTAGGAGGACATATATGATGTGTAATTTTAGTAAGGGCAGGAGTTTAGAAGACCCTTGGTAAGTATTGGCGATAAGAAAGTGCCATGGAGTGAATTTTGCCAAAAGGATGTGAAATCAATGGACGTCTCACCTGTGAAGTACAAGTTGGATGAATGAAGCGGACAATTGCATCTGGTGTTTTATGTAATAGTCAAATGCCATTTAAAAGGAAAATTCTTCAGGATGGCAAAGACGCCATCGATGCTTGATCACACGAGGTGCCGGGTGTTTAGACATCGACATGTGTGCAAAATGAGCATAGTGGAGATAAGAATATTTTGTTGGATGTGCGGGCACACTAAAAAAGACAAGATTGGAAATGAACATATCAAGGGAAAAAGTAGATGTTGCTCCAATTGAGGATGTGATAAGAGAAGCAGGTTGATTCATGTTGAATGAAGACCTTTAGGTGCTTTGGTGAGGAGGTGCGATTAGGGGATGGAGGTGCACGGTAGAAAGGGGCATGGGAAGGCTTAGAAGGACATGCAAGGAGATAATAAAGAAAGATATAAGTGGAGCTTCTTAAAGAGGATCTAACTCTAATACGGAATTGCGTGCAATGGCTTAATAGGATTTATGCTGCTATCGACCCCCTTAGTCTGATGAGGAATGTTGTTGTCGCTACCCAAAGCTTTTACTCTACGGATTTACAAGTCTGAAAAGTGCCTTGAAAATCATGTTTGGTTGAGAAAGAAATAAATATTGTGGGGCTTTTTATGCCATTAAACGTGCTTTTTTGGACATAATTTTTTTCATTGAGTCTCAGTATCCTTTTTGGAGAATTGGACGTTCGAACACCAAGACGTGCCGACACCTGACACTTATATCTGAGTTCAAGTCAGTATGGAGAAAGGATATTGACTTTAAACCTGTGATATCATGCACGCCTATTACGTAAATGAGGATACATCTACGTTTTCTTACTTCTTCTGTTGATTCTTCTTCGTGAGCAATTGCTTTGCATGTTTATCCTTCTAGCTATATGACTTGAAAGCGTCTTCATTGTTTCCATAGTCAACAAACAGATATTGAATCTTCTATGCGTAATTTAGTAAGAAATTAAAACTCAGGATTGAGCTTGACCTTAGTTTTGGCTTGATTGAAAATCGAGTCCGGCTGGAGTTGGTCTCAAGTAGCTTGAGAATTTTTCTAGCCCAGATTGAAAGTGAAAGTTTGAGCTCAATCAAGGTTTCAGCATTGAGGACTATTGCCAAGTTGAGTCAAGTTCTAATTTTTACTCAGAGCAATTACATCCAAGATCCACTGATCTTATGAACACGATGTTTGTATTTACTGTCATATTGGTTAGAGCAACTGAAACATTTGCTTTTTGAAGGTGGATATAGGGTATCTTTTGTACATTTGCAATTTGTACTGTGCCAATCTGAGTATTTCAATTCCCAAGGGGAACTAATTTGTGTTTAAATCACCAATTTTTTGCATTTCATTTGGTCAAACTGCATTCTAGTTATTATCTGATGTTTCATCGTTACCACATTGTTTTTGTCATACTTGTTATCTGATCCGACGTTAGAATTCTTATGCTGGTTTGGTGTGCTAATTACTGCTTATATTGGCTCGTATCTGTTTGTAGGTGATTGATAGATTAAGATAAATTCATTTGTATGGTTTGTAACAGATAAAGAGGATTACAAAGAGACAAGGGAGCCTAGAGTTGGCTTTGGAATACATTGATTTTCCAGATGAAAGTGAGTTCTGTGCTTTGTATGCTTGTTCCTTTTGTGGTCTTCACATGGTAGTTCCGTTTAATTGCGTGGTACCACTATCAGTCCATCTCAAAGCTTGAGGTTGTAGTTTGAATTATCTCAACGTTCTCATGCTTTTACCTTGGAGATATATTCAGTTCGCTACCAATTCATCTACAAGCTTTAAACTTTCAGATGGACTGATGGAAGTGTTACATCTACAAGTTGGAGGGGAAAAAGATATCCTATTAGTAACATACTTAGAAATAAGTAGTGGGGAGATACCTGGTACCAGTTTTCTGTCAGATACCTTTTAGAATTCAAATGTCTTCTGACAGTAGAAGGATATTCATGCATGTATGTATGAAATCTCTTTCATATCAATAATGGATATTTGTTGTGTCAAGCTTCATTGTCCCTATTGATACTTGCATGCTGATTGCTTTTGGATGCTTGTTGTTACTAGATGTGCCTGCTTTGGTAAGGTTTTCTGTATGTTCACAGATTTCAGTCAATTTTCAAATTTACAGAAATATCCAGGACTAAAGTATATCAAATGCCACCCCACTCTTCTGTTGATGCTAAGATGAAGAGGAAGAAACAATTGATGGTGCGCCCTCGCTTTCCTTCCGTCTATCATAGAAGTGAGATGCCCAATGTCAGATCTATCTCAGAGGTGGCAGTCACTGTTGATGACGACTGGAAGGTGGGAGATATGGTGGATTGGTGGACTGATGGCTGTTATTGGTCTGGAAGAGTAACAAAAGTGTTGGCGGACAAAAAGTTCCAGGTAACATTTTTGTCGTTATACCTGCAGTGCTCTAGATAGCTTACCTTTGCTCATAATGGGTGTTTGAAAGGTAATAGTCCTGCTAATTACTCAGTTTTGTAGAGGATATGTCTTCCACTTTAACTGTACTTCATCTTGTATTTGCTTATGTGTGGCATCTTTTATTGCATTGAAGTGATATGCTGGTAGGCTGCGTTTAGTTGGGCTTTTGGGGAAGTCTTTGGGGAATGCAAAAGACTTTAGGTTAAAGGGTTTTTTTGAAATGCAAATAGTATTCAGTAAAGTGTAATAAAAAATGCCTTGGGAATCGACTATGGTTTGAATGCTGTTTGGAAAAAACTAGACTTGTAAAGTATATTTTTTATATAAATAAAGAAAAAAAAGAAAATATACTCATGACCGTCGGTGATGGCTGGATGCTGGCGAGGGCCGTTGGGGTCGTGCGACCACAGCGAGGGCCACCTGAGCAAGATCTAGCTCGCAGGTGGTCAGATATGGCGTCGCCTGGCAACGCTGCACGAGGTGGAAAATGGTGAGGGCATTTCCAGAATTTCGAAAATTTAGCAATGGCAAAGTTGGAAGACAAAAATGTATTAGCATATCGGAAATGCTGTAGCAAATAAGTCCTACGGATTTGCCTTGGGCTAAGAGACTTTAGAGGACTTTGGAAATGCAATGCACTTCCCGAAAGCTCTCCAAAAAATATTTCCAAATGGCTTGACTTTTGCCCAAGGGCTTTTAGAGACCTAAAGGCCTTTGGGAAAGCCATTCTTAAACACAGCCAGTAGAGATAGTGCTAACTGCTAGCTTCTGTCTTCATATTCAAGAAAAGAAGGAATGGGCCAAAACTTTTTAGTTATTCTCTTCACAGGCTTCAGTGACATATTTTTGCATCTTTATCTCATGTTTAAGTATCCATTGTCTTTGACAGTGACAACTCTACATATTTGAATGTGATTAAAAATCCTCTCATAGTAACCTATAACTTAGGGTGGTTGTTCCCAGTGTCATGTAAGATTTGTGATTGAAATCCTTACTCTTAGCATTTCTAGTGCTTGAGATTTTTTTAGTTGGTTCTTGCTCGTGATGGTCCTAATTTCTAGGGTTGCGTTCACCCTGAACAGCTTATTAAACCATATGATGACTGTGCTGCTATATAAATAAATGGAAGAAGCAATTTAGATTCCTAATTAGGCTGAATGTGATGACGCACTGGACAAGGTGAACCATAACTTATTGCAATATTCCATTTCTATCAGAAGAAGAAGAAATTTTCAAGTCAAATGGGAATAAGAGGCCAGCAGAGCATCAATTTCCTTGCTTATAAGTGATTAAGATTTTTTCAGCTTTCAATCCAAAGAGTTTACTACTGTCAATGACTTCTTTTACTATGTTGGATTCTTTTATCATTAGATTGAGTTACATCCTCCTCCAGCTGGTGAAGGACAATCTTATGAAGCTTCGTCGAAGGAACTAAGGCCATCTTTGGATTGGTCTTTCGAAAATGGTTGGAAGGTACTTACTGCTATTCTAGATTCTTTGTATCAGTCAAATCTTGTTTACATACTAATGTATTGTTCAAGTGCTGATTTTGCTTCTTGAAAGTTGTCTACAGATTAGGATGTCAAACTTGGTTCTTGTCCTATTTATTTTGCTTTAAAGTCAACATAATACGTTCAATCTCTGCATATGGCATGAATGAGATCAAGAAAAGGTTTTTAGTTGCTAGTTTGCATTAATATGTGGTTGTTATTTTTGAATCACAGATGACTGCAGGAAACAAGCATAATAATAGGATAAAATTGAACTGAAGTAATGGTCAAGGCCTTTTGGGTGTAGGCCTTTTGGCAAGGTCTAAATTGCAATGGCTCTACTTTTTGTGAAATTTAAAGCAGGTTCTCTCGTCAATGTTACAGCCTCTTTCCTTTTGACTTGCCTTGTAGCGAAAGCCTTGGCCTATGTGCACGTAGATTTACTCCTTTTTGCCCCGATAGGCTAATAACTGAGACTGCAGCTAAAAAGGCTCTTCAATGTGCAAGTAATATGCACTCTCTGTCTGTCTGTCTGTCTCTCTAATAGAAACCGGGGGATCACTCTACAATTGGCTAATAAATCGTACTCTTTCAATGGGCATGCCATTCTTGTCTCTCATTTGTGGGGGCTGGGATGCAAGTGGACTGAAGGAGAAGCATCTGCCTCCACCTGTTCCCTTGCCTCACTTATGATATTGGTGGATATCAAATTACTTGTTAATTCTTTCGGTGTTTTCTTTGTCCTCAGATCTTTGTAAATACTCGTGTCATGCCCATTTTCCCTATGCTCTTTGTTGTTTGCCATCTAGTTTTTGCTGAGTATGGTCACTTCTTACCTTGTGGTTACAATTTCCCATAGGTCATTGAGTCTGAAGCTGCCTCACAGGACAAGCAAATTCATGTGAAATGGGTCTCATGACCTTTTCTCCTAATGGAAGATGTGGATACTATCTTTCGACCATCTCTGTTTCTCGTCTGTGGAATCTCTGAATCTAATCAAAACCTACTTCAACTGCCTTGTTGATCATTTTCTCAAGAGCTCCACAACCAAGTGGGTGAGAAGGAGGTGACAACAGGTTTATTTGTTTAATCCATTGGAAAAACCAGTGGACATCCCATCACCAGAATGCTAAAAGTTGGCGTTGATATAGACGTGCAAAATCACCAAGACCATCTCTAGGGCCCATTCCCTTGCTTTTGCTTAGCAAGCATTAAACATTAAGTAGACATGATCATGAAAACTTTTTAGGCGTTAGTACTTATATCATCCCACACTTTGTTTTCAGGCAGGAGTTGATCACTGAGTCAATAATTCGTCATCATGAAGTTAAGTCCTTTAGGGAGAATCCTTTTGAAAAGGGCACATGACATAGATTAGAACCTTTTTCAATCTTATGCTTAGGCCAAGTATTCATTAAACTCCTCCACCATGTTAATGCAGTTCCAAAACCATTTTGCTGAAAATCCTCAATAGCTCAACCTTTACAAAATTTCCTTAACTTCTGCATCTTGATTCTTCTGGAAAAGAATCATTCAACATGTTTTCATATGCAAGTGCTATTCTTACATTGGGTTTATTAGATGTCAAGGATTAACTCTAAGCCATATTGGTGTTCAAACTCTTTCTTTTGGCTAAACATGTTGAACTTTACAATGAACACTGTTGTTGTGTTCTAAAAATCTAATTGGAGAAAAAGTAGTCCTAATAAAAAGGTGATTAAGATTTGAAACGAGGTCATATTTGTTATTATAGATTAGGCAGGATGGTTTGTAAATTGAGCTGCTTGCTGTAACCCTTTTCATCAGTGGAGAGTGATTCACAAAGCACAGAAGAAAGTGCTTCGACCACACTCCTTTAGGGACCCCAATATTAATGGTATGTCAGTCCTGTTACTTGGCAAGTGCCTTGTGCACATCTAACTACACGGATCTATTTTTTGGGGAAAGTAATCAAGTTTTGTCCGGTTGTAGTGTCATATTGTTAATTCTGTGTGAATGGTTGTCTAGTCCGATTTAAGGCCCATTAGTTTACCTGCTTTTATGCGTTTGGGCTTTTATTACGCCTACCTGATTAGTACTTGCTTATAAAGCATACTCCATCGTTCTTTTCTCAGCCATCATGGATACTCTTTTGTTTGATGCATGCTCTTCTGTTTTATGCTAATTATCAAATGCGCTAAGCTTTTGCTCTGTGTTCCCAGTTTGTATATTCGCATTTCAATATTAGCTTCTGGCCGTTTGCTCAGTTCGATCACTGGTAACTGTATGATTTTCATTGGCCATTACAGGTGTGTTCATTACATTGTGCTCAGTTGATCAAGCCTCTCAATGAAGGTAAGGAGTGGTGCAGATGTACTTTAACATCTCCAAGAGATATCGGTTACTTGTCAGATTCTTTGGGAAGTTCTTTTATGTGGTTATATATAGTGTGATCTTGCATGCTTGTTTTGCAATTTTTGTTCACTTCTGTAAAACCATAAGAATTTCCATCTGTGTTAGGGTAGAGTTTGCCCGTGGTGATTAGCAGCATGGGTACATGTTGGTAGAAATTAGTGTAAAGATGAATCATGTTCTCGCCAGGGATCCATGTGACTATTTGTCTTGGATTTGTCAACAATTTGTATGTGTTTGTCTATTACGAGGTTTTGAATGCAACTTACGAGAAATTTGGCACAACTTACTCATTTTTTGCTGATTAGTAGAGTGGTTCTATACTTTTCTCCATAGGATGTTCTTAGAGCTAAATTTCTAAAATGAGTCTCTATAATGTTAAATGGAAAATTGGTTGGCTGAAGATTCTGTAAAGTGACTCGTGTAAAGTTCAGTTTCTTCTTTATTTTCCAGTAGCAGAATGACTTCTAACTTAAACTGGCTGCCATATGTTATCCTGTTTATTGATTTAAGGCTTTGTTTGGGAGTGCTAGGTGAGGAAATTGGGAGTGGAAAATACCCAAATATTTAACTTTTCCCTCCTCTCCTTTGTCGCAAAAATTTGAAATTTTTCTCAATTTTCTGCCCAAATTTTCATCTCCCATTTTCCCTTCCTTCCCAAACACAGCATAAATGATTTATTTGGAGACTCAGTGAAGTGTTCTTTATCTCCACAAATCTTTTTAAGGTGTTTGTCTTCCCCACTTGAGTCCTACAAAGGAAAATAAGAGATCTATGACTCTGGCTGCTAAGTGTTTGTGCTAGTGGTCTTCCTCAGCCGGTCCTTTTGTCACTCACGTGTCAAAGATGGAAGTCTTTCATTGATGGTCTTCCTAAGCTAGTCCCACCAGTAATTGTGTTCTATGTATACAACTCATAAAACAACTGCTTTCTCCTGTTATTAGTAAACTACACACACACACACACACACACACACACACACTTTCTCATGTCATACATTGACATCACTTTCAAAGGTCCTCCAAGAATTTCTGCTCTTCCTTCCTGAGTGGTTTGTGCGTCTTTCTTTCAGTACCTCTGTTGTGGGTTTTCACTGTGGTGATTAGAGTTAAACTTGTTGGCATGGGAGTCTGATAACTTAATTCTGTTTTCCTAATGTCCGTACTCTAGAGGTAGTTAGAGATAGCATTAAGGTTATGGTTTGTGGACATTTAATGCTTGATTACTTCATCAAGTTTCAGGTAGATCGTTACCCCCTGCTGATATGCCCAGGCTACAAGAAGTGCCTTTGAATATAAAGGCCCTTGAGAAATCACCTCCGGAGACACACACAAATTCCGAGAGATCACCAACAGAGAAATATGAGAATTCTGCAGTGGCCAGCAGTGGCCTTGGAAAGGCCAATAGCTGTGATGGTGTTTCTAGTTTCAGTGTAAGGGTTGCATCAGCAGAAATGGAAGTGAGTGTTAGTGAGGAAAACCATGAATCTGATCTTCACCGTCCAAAGAAGCTGAAAAGTGATGATCACACACTGTTAAATTCAATGTTCTCTGATACATTGGAAGATGCGATTATAGACCTCGAGGAACTTGCAAACCGGGTGAGATGGCTCAAAGAGATTTTAGAGTTCGGAGGGCATCCATCAAAGAATTCAAAACCTTCATGGAGGTTCTCAGAGCTTCGTGCATCGGCCACTCCAAAATAAGCACATCATTGAAGGTAATATATTACACTATCTAATTTGTTAGTTTTGATGTTTTCATTCATCATTGCAGGTGACATAATGCCTTATCCAACTTGAAACTTTGATGTCATTCATAGAGCTTTTGGACTTGTTGTGAATTGAGCAATCCTACCTTTCTCATACAATATTAGCACACGTGGACACAAATTAGTCCATAAATGAATTGCCACAACAATGATGTACAATTGGGGATGGGCATGGGCGGGAAGGGGTGGTGCAGGTTTTTGTTCTCGTATTGCCCTTTGGGGTGATGCTCTGCTTTGCAACTGCCCCCTTACCTCGTGTGGGGCAGGGCCCCTGTCCCCATGGGGCAAATGGGGCACCGCCCTGTACTGGGACGTGATGCTCCTTTGCAAAATGCGTAATTCTTTCCGTTATATTAGCTTAAAGTTATAAACTAATATTTTAGACACAGACATCCATTCCAGACTTATGATATCAGTTACATCGATCAATTTTGTGATCCCATCAAACAACTAAAATCCATTGAAAAACACGATTAAAAGACATTGAGAATTAAATAATATCAATGACAATAAGAACTGCAACAATCATGATGCTGGCGTGTCCAACAATGTAAAAGAAGATACCACAATCTTAGGTGTTCAACCATATTACATTTCTCTTGCATGCACATGATTAGCAATCAACCATGGAGTGGTCATGGGATCATGGTGTCCGGTGAACATTTTGGCTTAGTGACTTGATGTGTTAATTACATGAGTTCATAATCGCATGATGTCTGGGTGATTTTGTCTTCACTGATGCATCTTCTTTTTCTAGGATAACTTTGATACCTTCAAGATGGGGTCACTTTGCTGAACCTACTGGATCCCAAAATTTTTTGAGTAAGAATTTCTTCGCGTGGCTAAATATATAAATATATATATATATATACACACATCTTCGTGCATACTTATGCATCCATACATGTATAAGATCAAATTTTGATAGATTTCTTAGGAGTATTTTCATAACGAAATGCATATATAGCTTGGGTGAATTAAATTATAGGATAATCAACTGAAGGTAAATGTTTTATTCATTAGATAGGTGTTGTATCAGATATGATTAAAGTTAAACATTCACATCAGCTGATTCACTGGAGATGATGTTGTTACTTTGCATTTTATTGCACAAGGAAACTGCAGTTTTCCGTTTTTCCTTGGGAAAAACTTGATCCCAGAAGATTCTTGAGTTAAACTTGTTAGTCATCATTGCCTTGCATTTGTGATAATCCATTGAAGGGAGGAACTTAGCAGAGCAGGTTCAGTTGTTAATGTGATAGTACGGAGTGACCGTTAGGGCATCCTGCCGTCGTAGAGAATGTATGGGGTCTGCCTAAAATGCTAGGTACTTTTGGAGCTCGAGTACGAAGAAGTTATAGAAATATTTTCTGGAATCTTTGACATGAAACGTCCTCTAACCGGCTCCATTTACCAGTTAATTGCCCGGCTCCATTTACCAGTCGATTGCCCTAGCGCTCTCAGGTAAAGCAGATGGTAGAGATGCACATTAAGTTCTTAAACAATTCAAAAATTTTTGGTTGACAGGTTGTGCTTTAGTCGAGATGATGCCCAAACTTATTGGAAACAGCGCGGCTTTTTTTTTGAAGATGCAGCTTGTGAGCCCCACCTTCCTGGAGAGTTTGCTCGGATGATGTTACGTTTCATGGCTTTGTGCCGCTACACAAATGAACTACTTCTGGACTTCCAGGCCATCTTTTTTTTCTAGTTTTTAATGGAAGGGTCTTGAGCAATGGGAGTCCATTTTACAGCCAGGGCTCTATGCATCTTGTAAGAAGCAAAATAGGTTGGCCGTCTGTTTACTGGTAACGCCTGTTCATTGTCTTGGGGGATTCTGAGTTGGACGACGGCGAAAAAATTGCGACATCGATATTGAATTTGTAGTGCTCTCGCTACATTTAATCACTCATATTAGCTTCTCTCTCTCTCGGAGTGTGCACTTGCACGCTGTTAGCTTTCTATGAGGCTAAAGCAAAGGATGTCCGGACCATTCGCGTGAGTGTCTGCATGCGTGTACTGCACAGGATGATGCAAAATGACATGAACTGTCGACCATGCCGAATGATTGTGGTCAAATGACCATCGGCATCTAAGTCGGAACCTATTGAAGCAAATCAGATGCACGTAACACATCGCGATCACCATTTCCATTTTCGTGTAGATTCCATCTCGACGGTGAAGGTCAACATGGCAACCACAAGCTATTCGATCTCTATTTTAGCTTCTGGGTTTGCAAAAGGAGTTGTGTTTTGGCCTAGTGCATGCAGGTTTTACTTTCCCATAATTGGAGTGGACAATGGTTTCGCCGAATAAAGGTGCTTGAGCTTGGAAAGCAAGTCTGGTTTTTCAGTACAAACGTGGGGAGCCTGTAGCTTCAATGAAGTCATAGAATGTATAACTGGTGGGACTTGTATATAATCAAGGGATAAGTGCACTAAAAATTAAAAAATGTATCACGAAAATTCAATTAAGTATTAAAACTTTCAAGTGTTAAACTTGTTATGAAAGTGCAATCGAATTCTAAAACTTTCAAAAAGTACAAGTAAGTCATAAATCTTGTCAAATTGATCTAATCAAATCCTTTCGTTGACTGCACTTTTTGAAAATTTAAGGATTAAATTGCACTTTCATGACATGTTTTAGTACTATCAATGCACTTATCCCTATAATTAACAAGAGACGGGGTGAGTGGTCCTAAGCAATTATGATATGAAACAAACATTTAGCGGTGGGTGCGAAGCTCTTATTGAATATCCAAAGAGGGCAGTGACGCTAATCGGCCTTTCCCATTGATATTTGCCAATCAAATTTTGTCCAATATGAATCGGCTAAATGGAGCAACCCTCCTACGTTGGATCTAGCATGAACAGTCAATTCGTCATGCAAATGGGCAACGGCCGTAAAAAAAAATAAAATTGGGAGTGGTAAATTAGGAACTTGATCGATAGTCGATATGAACGTTCAAGGCTCGGTCGTCGGCTCAAACTCGATCTAGGGTTCGACTCAGATCGAATCAACCAAACTATCGAATGATCGACTTTAAGTTCACCTCGACTTGACCCTAGCTTGAACTCGGACTTTGGGAAATGTTTGTGATCGAATTATCCAACTAGGCTCAGAGCCGTTGGAATAAAATCTGTCGAGTTCAAGCTCTAATCGGTTTAGTATTTTGCTCAAGAACTCTGAGTATAGCATTGTATCGACGACGTACGACTCTTCTAACCAATGGCTTACATCATCATCATTTCTCGTCCTTGTTGTTTTTTGGTGCTATATTTTTTTCTATGCTTGAGCCAACCTTAATAAATTTCTGGAAAATTACCAAAAAAAAAAATTTCTCAACCTATTGCACACGTGCCAATTCGGGTTTAAACAATTTTTTAGGAACAATCTTTTAAACATTTGGGAAAAAACCACCAAAAACCCCAAACTTTCCCACTTGTGACACATTTACCCCGAACTTTTTTTTGTGACACCAAAAACCCCAAACTTTGTTATTTGTGACACATTTACCCCGATATACATTGTCCATGGGCATTTTCGTCTTTTTAGCTTTTTCTTTTTCTTTTTACTTTTTTTTTTCTTTCCGGCGAGGGCCCCTCGCCGGATCCGGCGAGGGGCCCTCGCCGGCGTCGGCGAGGCTCGCCCTCGCTCGTCCGAGGCGAGGGCGAGCCCGCCCGCGCGCCGGCGAGGCTCGCCTCGCCTCGCCCAAGCGAGGGCGAGCCTCGCCGGCGTCGGGCGAGCCTCGCCGGCGTCGGGCGAGCCTCGCCGGCGTCGGGCGAGCCTCGCCCTCCTCGCCCAGCCGGGCGAGGCTCGCCGGCGCCGGCGAGCCTCGCCCTCCCTCGCCCGAGAGCGAGGCGAGGCTCGCCCGGCGGCGAGCCTCGCCCCTCGCTCGCCCGGGCGAGGCGAGCCTCGCCCGAGCCGGGCGAGGAGGCGAGGCTCGCCGGCGTCGGCGAGCCTCGCCCTCGCCCGGGCGAGGAGGCGGGCCGGCGAGGCTTGGGCGAGGAGGGCGAGGAGGGCGAGCCTCGCCGGCGTCGGGCGAGCCTCGCCCTCCTCGCCCGAGCCGGGCGAGGCTCGCCCGACGCCGGCGAGCCTCGCCTCGCTCGCCCGAGCGAGGGCGAGGCTCGCCCGACGCCGGCGAGCCTCGCCCTCCTCACCCTCCTCGCCCGGGCGAGGCGAGGCTCGCCCGACGCCGGCGAGCCTCGCCCTCGCCCGGGCGAGCGAGGGCGAGGCTCGCCCGACGCCGGCGAGGCTCGCCTCGCTCGCCCGGGCGAGGCGAGCCTCGCCGGCGTCGGGCGGGGCTCGCCTCGCTGGGCGAGCGAGGGCGAGCCTCGCCCTGACGCCGGCGAGGGCGGCCCTCGCCGGATCTGGCGAGGGCGGCCCGCGCCGCCGGCGAGGGCCCCCTCACGGAAAAAAAAAAAGTAAAAAGAAAAAGAAAAAGCTAAAAAGACGAAAATGCCCATGGACAATGTATATCGGGGTAAATGTGTCACAAATAACAAAGTTTGGGGTTTTTGGTGTCACAAAAAAAAGTTCGGGGTAAATGTGTCAAAGTGAGAAAGTTTGGGGTTTTTGGTGGTTTTTTCCCTAAACATTTTAATTGTGTCAATTTAGTTCTAAATTTTTTCACGTTTTGCCAATTGATTTCATTTAGCCAATTTAGGCCGAAAGTTGCCGACGTGGACAATGCCTGTCTTACGTGGCACGGCTAGTGCTAATGTGGATGTATTTTTTAAAATTTTAAAATATATTTTTTTAATTTTTTCCTTTTTTTCTTTACTCTTCTTTTTTTGTTTGGAATGAGGGTTGGTGAGGGCATCACGACCCTCTCCCAGGCCCTCACCGGCCACATCGAGGGCTGCAATGCACTTGGCGGCCGTCATTCCAAACAAAAAAAAGTAAAGAAAAAAACAAAAAAAAATCATAAAAAATAAAAAAAAATTATTAAAAGATAGCGGTATCCATATCAGCATTTTTCCGTCTAAATTGATCGGATATACTCAATTGAAAAAACGTGAAAAATATTTAGTGCTAAATTGACATAAATAAAAGGTTTAGAACTGCATTGTCTCGAGCGCAATAAATCTGACTTTTTTTTTAAAGTAATTTTCCCATATATTTCCCTTTACATCTGATCCTCCCATTTAATGAAAAAGCCTCAAACCTAATTAATCACACCAAAAGTTCACTTTGGCTTTTCCCTTGGTGCACGCAACTTTTAGAGAGATCACATGCACCGCTTGCAATTAATCAAGAAACCCATCATTGACGCTTTCGCCACCAAAACCCTCACAAGAAAACTGCTCAAAACCCTAACGACCACCATCACCTTTTGTCAAAGAACCTCCTCATCTGCGCAACCAACAAAAGCTCCAGTCCTTTTCCAAGATCACGGACTCCATTGATCGGATTCAATGCCTTATCGATCACAAGTTCACGGCGAGTTTCGAGCCTTGCGTCGAAGCTGAACTCCCCATCGTCATGGCCCATGAAGACCGAGAAGAGCCGAGAAAGCCGCAGTTCCCGCTCGACGCGAGCTCCTACAAGATCGTCGGCGAGATTGGGGCCGGCGTCAGCGCCGTCGTGTACAAGGCCCTGTGCGTGCCGATGGGCTCGGCGGTCGTTGCGATCAAGTCCATCGACCTTGACCGCTCCCGCGCAGATCTCGATGACATCCGACGTGAGGCCAAGATGCTGTCGCTCCTCTCCCACCCCAACATCCTCAACGCCCACTGCTCCTTCACGGTGGACCGCCGGCTCTGGGTGGTCATGCCCTTCATGTCTGCCGGCTCGGCGCAGTCCATCATGGCGTCCTCCTTCCCGGAGGGCCTCCCCGAGCCGTGCATCGCTGTCATCCTCCGAGAAACCTTAAATGCCCTCTCCTACCTCCACAACCAGGGCCACTTACACAGGGACATCAAGGCCGGCAACATCCTCATCGACTCGGGTGGTGCCGTGAAGGTCGCTGACTTTGGCGTCTCGGCCTTGATATACGAAACTGGTCCGGCCCATGGGTTATTGATGTCGTCGAGTTCATCGTCGTTGATGCTGACTAATATCACAGGGACACCCTATTGGATGGCGCCTGAGGTGATACACTCGCAAAACGGGTATGGATTCAAGGCCGATATATGGTCTCTCGGAATAACTGCGCTCGAATTGGCACACGGTCGGCCTCCTCTATCTCATCTCCCACCTTCGATATCTTTGCTCATGAAGATCACGAAGCGTTTCCGGTTCTCCGACTACGAGAAGCACAAGGAGGACTACCCGGGACGAAGGAAGTTCTCGAAATCGTTCAAGGACATGGTGGCTTCTTGCCTCTACCAAGATCCTTCGAGACGACCCACCGCTGAGAAGCTCTTGAAGCACTCGTTCTTCAAGAACTGCAAAGGGTCGGAGTATCTTGCGAAGCATGTCTTGAAAGGGTTGTCTAGCGTCGAGGATAGACACCAGCAAGCCAAGCTCTTACGATCTTTGTCGATAAACAAGAGTGGCGATGACGGGGGAGAGGAAGATGATGGTGCTGAGTCAGGTGATCCGGAGAGTCAGAGCGATAAGCATAGGAGGATAAGCGGGTGGAATTTCAATGAGGAAGGGTTCGAGCTCGACCCGGTTTTCCCCAACGAAACTGTTCCAAATGATTCGTCACCACAGGAAGCTAGTTTCGAAGGCGAAGGAATGGACCGAGACAATGTCGCCGGATTGAAAGGTTCCTTTGAATTGGCGAGCTGTACCGACGAATTAAGCGCCAGCTCGCCGGCCCGAGCTGCCAACGAGAGCGAAGATGAATGCAGCGACCATCAGGGAAGCGTTCAGGTGGCGATCCACAACGCGGCTCGAGGCTTTGATAAGGAGGTGATGATTGGGAGCTTGGCGCTGCTGAAGAGGAGCTTGGAAGATGAATTGCAGAAAGTGAACGGTTTGATGAGTCTCTTAGGAGGAGGAGATCAGAGAGGGGTGGAAATAGCCAATAGAGAAGAGCAGTTGGTACTGGTGATTGACAAGCTGAGGGCTAACTTGGAGAGCGAGAAGAAGAAGAATTTCGAGTTAGAGAGAGAGTTGGAGTGTCTCCACCACCGAAGTAGCGACGCCGGTGGCGAGACGACCGATGACGCCCCGGTTAGAGATTAAATGATGCTGTCCATGATCATATTTGGAGAATCAAACTTTCTATTGCTCCTCGTTAATTGTTTGCCATATCCATAGTGTGTTCTTTAGTGCATTAAGAGATGAGACAGAGATTTCGGTTATTCGCCATGCAACAATCATTTTGATCAGTGATCGATGTGGAATGTACCGAATCGCTTACAATTTAAGAAATTAGCAAAACCGTTCTGAATTTGTTTGTGCTCCGTACCTTATTTTTCGTATTTCCTTCTCGAGATAGAGCAACAGGCTTGTTCGATGCTTAAACTGGGTTGTAATGTACTCATAGGTATCGGTTAGAGTTGAAAGTCGTTTACTTATTATTTTGTGGTGAAAGCAATAAGTTTCTCTACTGTTATATTTGCTTTGAAATTACCGGGATCGACGCTCGACCATTATAATCAATCAAGCAAAGTGAACTAATACCCTGTTGAAATTGGCTTCTAGGAATCCAAGAAAGCCCTAGTTAGGTCGAAGGGTGTACAACATCATGTTTTATTTTCCAAATTTAGGAATATGAAGAGCAATATTGTACCCAAATTATAAAAAAAGAAAAAAAGGCTTGGGCTTCTTAAGCTTGCAGGGGAGATCTAGCCATCTACGAATTGGGCCAATACGTAGTGATGTGATGGATCAGTTCGTGAGAACTACTTAGGTCACAGCTCCACACAGCAAATTAACATAAAGTTGTTTGTCGTTGTTTATTCTTTGTTAACAAAAAAATAATCATAGAAGATTTAAGCCCAAAAGGAAAAGGAATATTATAGGAGATCAATATAGATTTTAGCCATATTTTTGCACTAATTAAAGAGATCACATAGAAATCTATATCCATTGAGAAATCTTGGACCGTCAAATCAAAATGATAGAATTAATATATGCCTCGAGTTTGAGCTCGTATTGAAAATCTGAATTTTGGAAATAAAAAAAATGTAAGAACCAGTTTCGGAAACAAGGTTTCCTTATATGTGTTGGAGTCTTTGGCCACTAAAGTTGGAAAGTCCAACATGGACTTTAATTCAACCAAATTCTGGATTTCTTCTGGCAGTAAATAAAAGTCTAAAAGATTATGGTTCAGATGCCTTCTTGGTCGATATTTCACGTTGGAATCCAAGTTGGAGAAGGAAACTGTTTTTGTCGGCCAAATATTCAAGAAGTCCCCGCGCCCGCGCGCCCACACACACACACACACACACACACACACACACACACACACATATATATATTTTGATAGTGAGATTCCTTCGTGCCATTATTGAGGTGAGTGCAGCGGCGACTTAGGCTTTGAAATTTCGTCAATTACATCGTTGCGAAGATTTACTAAATGATAAAATCTTATGATAAAATTTGTGTGTAATTCTTTTGTGAGATTGAGAGATTATTTTGTGAGAAATTGTGGGACTAAAACACCATGAGTTATTGGGTTTAATTGGGGATGGGAAAACACTGAGAGTATTTGAGTGACTTTAGTGTAGTTGTAATATTCGTTGTATCACTTAATCTATAGTGAAATTCATTTCTACTCTTTCCCTGGATGTAGGTCACCCCATCAAACCATGTGAATCCGATACCCGTTTTATTTACTTATTCTGTCTATTTTACTGTTATATTGCTTCTTTCCGCAACAGAAAGGGTTTTTGTCATTAGGTCGGATTAAAATGAAAGAACATGCAACCTAGACATCCGGTTAATACGTGGTTTTTTAAATTAGTTAACATCTTCAATGAAATTTTTTTAGCTGTTGAAAATGTTGAGGATTACCTTTTGATATTTTGTTAATCATATGAAAAAGTTATTGGTTCCACATAAGCACATGCTTACATTTTCAGTATGAAAAGTTACTAACCATGGTTAAAAGATGACTAGTAAAATTTGCAAAACACATGAAAAAATAATTAATTACTGATAAATTCGGAATTTTACTTTGGTAGAAACATCTCATGGAATTTTTTTCAAATTTGATGAAATTGTTGATATTGAAGTTCCCCTTTTGTGTCGATGTTTTTGTGTATTGGGAATGATTAGATTCAAAATATAAAAACTGAAAATATATTAGGAGAGATATTTTACTTTTTAACAAAAGAATAAAAAAAGGCCAACCAGAGCTTGAAGTTGTGGTGGTCATTGTCCCCCGTCCCCCCACCCTCCTATCACCCTCACGTGAGAGAGACCTCATGGAAATCAATTATATCAATAGTGGTAATTAGTTCGGTCACCTGTGACTTCGTTGATTTTAGAGGATTTAAATTTATAAATTCCTAAGTTTCTTAATTTATTATTCAGTTTGGGGATAGATCAAAGGCTGTCTAGCAAATATAAAGCTTAATTCGAACTCATTGTGTTGCCTTAATCAAGACTCATGGGTCAAAATCCACCTCCCTCCTTCATCCATACAAACATCTCCTCACCAACGCCAAAAGGTTTATAAAAGCAAAAGGTGACGCGGACAACGCGATGCATCGGCTCAATAGTGCACTCGATGAAAGAAAAGGAAGGTTTAGGAAAAGAGATAATCAACGTAAGAACACATCTAAGTTAAGGAAAGACACATGCTTTGATGTGCCATCAGATGAAGGAGGGGCAAATATGCGCATTTCATGCTATTTATGTAAAGATGCATATTCTTTGAGGGTTGCAGGATCTCCTCAGAAGAAAAGTAGGATTCGTAAATTACTGTCAAGAGTTGAAGATACTTTTTGTTTCTTTCCGGACGTCAAGATGTGCTTCAGCACATATACCCACACCCCCCATCTCCACACAGAGAAAGAGAGAGAGAGAGAGTTTCAAGGGTTGATGAGACAGCAACCAATCAAAAACGGCTTTGATTCTCTGGGAGTTTCTAACATTTTGTCAGTTGAATGATTAGGAGCTAACAAATCCCAATTCAACTCTAGTCTCTCTCTCTCTCTCTCTTTCTGTCAAAAAGAGATTGGAAAAAGTCTGGGCCTCTCTTCACTTCAGCAAGTCCATACCTATCCTGATCAATTTTCAAGCGGGAAAAACATGCAACCTCTGTTGTAGAAGCTGGTTAGGAGACTCAGAGTCAGACCCATATCTAGCATGGCCCTGGACTCATCTCATTGGCCACCAGTCCCTCGCTAAATCCCATCTAAATATGGGGCACTATCTTTTGTCAACATGAGTGCTCTTAGATTCTTTCTCCTCCTTTTTACCAAATCCTGGAAACATGAAAAGAAGCTCAGTATGCTGAGAGCTCAAATGCCCTAGGAACTAGAAGCTATTTGAGTACTCTTATGAACGGGCAAGCATTGGAGAGTACATCTGCAAGGGAAAAAGTATCCCCTGCATCTATGTAATATAAGTGCTTATAGCAGATAGGATCTTTCATTTCTTCTTTCTTTCTTTATAAAAAGAATTGGTCAACATTCATGAAAAAAATTATGCAAGTAAAATGAGGCATTGGTTAATGATTTCTACCCGCAAACAAATGATAGAGAACATATAATTTGTAAACCATTGTCTCGTTTCATGTACAGTAGGGAGAGAGTCTTCCGTCTAACCCGACACACATACACACGATATGATAATAGACCATCGCAGAGATTAAAAGGTTCTCAAAGCGAATGAATCGAACAAATCAAGAATAAAATAGACAACTGAAAGTCAGAGACTCAAATTTAGATAGTTAGGTAACGCGGAGAAGTCGTTTCCGTATGCTCAAGAGGCATTACTAGAGAAATAAGTAAACTCCTGCAAAACCAGAGCTCAATAATATTGATACGTTTGACTCCAGGCAAGGAACACTGAATCATCACAATGATGATTTATCAGAGACTGATTAACAAGTGAAGTAAATATCGAATCCACTCGAACCTCTTGTACTAGACAACATTCAAGAGTTCGATTTAAGAGGGATGGAGGCATGATCCACAATGGTTGGCCATTCGATCTTAATTTGCATAGCTGGTGAGAGGAAGGGAGGTTCCACCTTCCTCTACTACTCTGTATGGGTTCAGCAAGATTTCCACACTCAAAGAACGAGCGAATTCAGGTGTTATCTTCGTATATCGAGCAACCTCAGGGACCAGTTCCAAGCTAATACGAGATCACTAAAGCACAAAATGGGCTACCAAGCACTGGTCATACAATTCTTAACCACTGACTTACATGGTGTTTTTGCAGAAATATTTTCGGTGTATAAAATCTTCTCTCTCAAAAAGAAAATTCAGCTACAAATCCATCTGGACATTTTAAGAGAACAATAGCTTGTCCCATGAAAAAGTAAGGCTTTTATCTGAAAGAACACAAATATCTTAAATCTTTGTTGGCTTGACAAGACATGCGACGCAAAGGTCGATGACATGATGGGTTTATTTCTTATCGATCCTCTTCATAGGACAACATGGTCCATCTTTTCCTCCACCCTGTGACCGTTGATACATATAAGAGCCAACGACATTAAGACACGCGACATTGACCAGGCTCCATCAGGTGACCCCATGGTTATGAACGACTCTTCCGAGAGAGAGAGAGAGAGAGAGAGAGAGAGAGAGAGAGAGAGAGAGAGAGAGAGAGTTTAGATTTTGTGTGTGAAGCTTTTTTCTCTTAGTTAGAAGAGAATTGCAAAAAGCAGTAAGTGGTTGAAGAGAGCATCCACTATAATCACTTCCCTCTATAGTAAAAAGGGCATAATGCGGCAACTCAGGCCCTCCTCTTATAGGAAGTAGTGACCCTCATAAACACATGCCCCGCGTTTACCTCTCTCTCTCTCTCTCTCTCTCTCTCTGAGTTTCATTTCTTGTCTTTATCTTGTGAAATGATGTGAGATTAGATTCTCGCTCTCTAGTACTCACTTATGGTTTTCTGAGTTCTTGAATAAAGGGAAAGAACACGCACACACACAAAAGGTCACTCATGGAGAGGAAGAGTAGTTTGAGCAACAGCTTGAAGGACCACTGCACCAGAGACTCCTCCGCCACCACCCACCACCACCACCACAACCACCACCAGAGGCTGAATATGATAAAGGTGGGTTCTTCTTTGATCAGCCACTACCCGAGCCACACTGAAGATTACCTGAGCGGACTCTCTTGGCCTCCGAGGTCTTACTCATGCAGCTTCTGCAAGAGGGAGTTCGGCTCGGCCCAAGCCCTTGGCGGCCATATGAATGTCCACCGCCTGGACCGCGCGAGGCTGCGGCAGTCGACCCCTCCTCCGCTGCCAGCCAAGGCCGAGAAGGCTGATTGTAGCGGCGGCCAGGACCCGCTTCTCGGCCTCAACCTCAACCATAACCCTAAACCTAACTCCAACAACCCTAACCCTAATTTCTCCTCTTCCCCTTTGTCCTCGCCTCCCCATTTTGCTCGAGCATTGCCAACCTCGATTCGTCCTTCTCCTCCTGCCTTTACTTCAACGCTGCCGTCGATGAATTTCCCTCCAGCCAGTGAAATGGGACGGGCTCGCAAGTGTCTTGCCACTAGGGCTGGCGAAGCGGATTGCGGTTGGACTACTCAAGGATATGCCAAGGATACTAAGATTGTTAGGCTAGGAATGCAGGTGGATCTTCTCAACAACTTTAAAGAAGACGAGGTCGATTTGGAACTTCGCTTGGGGTACTCCAGTTAAGTGAGGCTTTTAATACTTGCCATCCTTAAGATTTTCAATCGTTATATGTTAGCTTTCAGATCTCTGTGAGCAGAGTATTATGATTAAGAGCTTATCTTAGATTACTAGTAGCCCAGATCTAAGTTCACATATTGCTATATGTGTATGTATATAGCAAATGTCCTAACTCATCCATTGTACTCGATCAACCGTTTCTAAATGTGCTTCCTTCTTGATCTGACTTGTTAGACCTAATTGCTTTAATTTCAACTTCATTGTTCTTTCCATTTCTTATTTATGAATCTTGTGCAATGGTGAGGTTTCTGGTAAATATTTTCTTCTATGATGCAGGGTTTGTGTGTGTGTGTGTGTGTGTGTGTGTGTGTGTGTGAGAGAGAGAGAGAGAGAGAGAGAGAGAGAGAGAGAGAGAGAGAGAGAGCATTCATATTTTGGGGTAATCTTTGCTTTTGCTTTCCATTATGTCTAACTTTTTAGCATCATTCTTCTGCTACGAGGGTTCTTGGGTAGGTTAACTGTAACTTAACAACGAGAATAGTTGCAGTTGTACAAAAGAAAGTAAACTAGACCAACTGATTGTCCTCCCTTTTTCTATCAATTGTCTTTTTTTTTTAAGAAAAAAATTAGCTTAAATATCAGTAAACCAACACTGTCTTGATGATTTAATAGGGCTACAAATGTTTGATGGAATGAACAAAGAAATGAGTAAAATATGAGAAAGAAACGTGGTAAGCAAGGGTGCGTGTAGGATGACAATAGCTGCTGGACATTGCTGAGAAATAAGAGACCAACATGATCGACCATTGGACTTAGATTTCATTGTCTAAAGACGCAGCAAACTGAGATTTGGATGTCGTCTGTTCTATAGGAGATTTCTCCTGTTCTCATCGCTACTTGCCGTTACCGTTTGGCAGTTAGGAAAGCGAAGCTTCTCGATTAGAATAATCTACCACACATTATCAAAATGCAGATTTTATAATAGCTTTATGACAGATGATGCACTCATGGCGTGACATGGTTTTTCGGGTTTCTTCTTCCTAACACAAGCGAGACTCACCGATGAGGTTGGGGACTGAGTACTACACAAATCCAGCGAATGCTTGCCGACTCGTTTATTCTCTGATAGCGTCATGTTTTCCTTTATCCTTAGTAGACCTGTTAAACGGGTGGGTCGGGTCGGGTTTAGGTCGGGTCATAAATGGTCCGACCCAAATTGACCCATTAACCCGTTTATGACCCATTTATTCATAGTGTAAATATCTCGACCCATACCCGACCCGACCCATACCCAACACATAAACCCGACCCATGTTGCTAAAACACTTTTATATTTAACCTAATCCTGAAATACTTGTTTCTTATGATTTTTTTTTAAAATTATACTGCTAAAACACTTTTATATTTAACCTAATCTAGAAATACTTGTTTCTTATGATTTTTTTTAAATTTATATTGCTAAAACATTTTATGCAATACAAAGCTAGTGAAAGAATTTGATAATTTTTTTTAAAATTGAGGTTATGTTTGTTTTACGAAAAATACGACATTTCTAAAAAATATTTTCCATAAAGTCATTATCCAAGAAAATAAAAAAAATTTGATATTTTTTTATTTTTTAAATCGAATTTTTAATTATTTTTTATTTTATTTTTAATTTTTTCTTTTTCCTTTATTTTTGGCCGATCGCCGGCCGCTGTGGCCGGCGACCGACCACAGGCGAGGACGAGCTCGCCGGAGGTCGGCGAAGCTCATTCTCGCCGGAGGCCGGCGAAGCTCATTCTCGCCGATCTGGCGAGGCCGAGGCCTCGCCGGCCTCAGGTGAGGCTCCAGCCTCGCTGATCTGGCGAGACTCGAGCTCGCCGGCCTCAGGCGAGCTCGATCTCGCCGGATCTGGCGAGGTGGAGCCTCGCCTGAGGCCGGCGAAGCTCGAGCTCGCCAGCCTCGGGCGAGGTCGAGCTCACCCGAGGCTGGTGAGCTCGAGCTTCGCCGGCCTCGGGCGAGGCTCCACCTCGCCAGATCCGGCGAGATCGAGCTCGCCTGAGGCCGGCGAGCTCGAGTCTCGCCAGATCGGCGAGGCTGGAGCCTCGCCGGGATAGGGCGAGCCTCGAGGTCGCCGGAATCGGGCGAGCTCGAGGCTCACTAGATCGGCGAGGCTCGAGCCTCGCCCGAGGCCGGCGAGCTCAAGCTTCGCCGGCCTCCGGCGAGGTTGTCCCGCCCCGGTGGCCGGTCGCCGTGGCCGACCACCGGCCGGAATAAAAAAAAAAGAAAAAGAAAGAAGAGAAAAGAAAAAAGAAAAAATAAAAGAAAAAGAGAAAAAAATAATTAAATTTCGATTTTTTTAAATATTTTTGTAAAGAGGGAGAGAGTGTGTGGATGGGTCTAGTAGGTGGGTTAGACATGGTTCCAAACTCAACCCATTTAGACCCATTTATCTTTAAGCTTTAAAATTTAAAACCCATTTAAGGTTGACTCTTTAAAATTAAAGTGACCCATATATGACCATTTATTTTTAAATGGGTCATATATGGGTTTAAGACCCATTTTGACACCTCTAATCCTTAGTAGGAGCCGGAGGAAATTTCCTTCTGACCAATCTTCTAATTGGTGGGTTATAAATATAGACGTGACCCATGTTTATATTTAGTTAATTTTGCATGTGGTTGGTGTTTGTAACTTGTAACTCGCCAATCAGAGAAATTATTTGGTGGAATTTATTGCGGCAAAAAATACAGAAAAATATAAGCCTTTTCCACAATACAAGGTTACTGTTAGTGCTTTTAGCTTTCTCATAGCAAAATGCTGCATACATACGTACGCACATACATATACAAATGATGTATGTATGCGTGTATTTTTCAACATACACCCATTTTTTTAATATAATTTGACCTGGCATTATTGTATGCATATGAGCGCAGCAAGATAGCACTTCCCTCGTCTCCGAATGACGTAAAGATTGTCATGCGCCCTCCCTAACAAGCATATGGAAATAATCTATTTTAAGTTTAATATTAGAGTCTGTTACCTGTCTCTCTTAGTTTTTCTATTTGATCTGAATTCAAAATGAACATACAAAGCGCACATGTCTACAATAGCTCTCTTGATCTTATCGACAAAATTCATCGTACTTGTAAGAAGAAAAACGTTTAATCGTAACAATACATAACCCACACGTGATGTAGCAAGTCAATCACTACACTTTTTACGTAAGAAATTGATTTTTTACATCTTGAATATCTGAAATTTGATGAACGAGATGCGACGTCCAAGTATTAACCATACTTTTTCCTAGGGTAAACCACATTGGCATTCAACTATATGTTCTAAGTGCGACAATTAATGCATCTCAAAGAACCCAAAATGCATTCTCCGGTTTACAAGAGTTAACATCTGTTACATGGGTTATGATTAAGCAGGGCATAGAAGTCTGTACTGTTTCATGTGTACAGATGGTCATCATTAGCTAGGGTCGAGTTCCAAGGCACCAAAAAGTGAATAGACGTAGAAAGTTATAATGCCATTTCATTCGTCCTATTAATTCACCCAACGTAAGGGAAACGAATTAACTGTTCGCAATATATTTCTCTCCCCTTTTCAGATACTCGATCGGGCAATTCGACATGCAGGTAGTAAATACCTTTCTTTTTACTTCGAGGAATAACACGAGCTCACCATTTTTTGTGCTGGTCCCTTTTCGTGTTTGGAGTTTGATGGTTGCGATTGCTATGCGAAGTGCCAAAAAAACTTTATTTTAGAAAGCACCCTTTGCAGGCTCAGAAGTTAGAAGAGAAGTCCAAAGTCTAACATAATAAAAACATACTCCTATCACAAGCCATCAGATTGTTTGTAAAGAAAAATACACCAATCGTATTAACTGTTACTGAACTCCAGTCACATTAGTACCATTAACCCAATCTTCTTAAGTTTCTTGAACTTTAAAAAATGCCAAAAAGAACATTCGTAGATAAAGAGTTGATTAAAGTGTGTGACTTCATCAAATTTAACAGACATTGGATTAATAGTTAATCAAAAGAAATTATCATGTTAATAATCTTGATAGACTCTTGAGCCCTATTAAGACACCACCTTTTTTCTCCTTCTCTAACTCAAAGTTTTGGAGTTTATCCACACACGCACGCACACCCAAAAAAAATTGAAAAATAAACGAACCAATGAAAAGATTTGTAGGAGTACTTGAGTGGTCAAAAAGGGTCCACGCAAACGGGCGACGACATGCAATAACTACACGAGAAGGAACAATCAAACACGACTTAATGTGTTCGTTTCTGTATGTCTCGATGCGAAGCCAAACAAAGATCTCTTGGAGCATCAGATGTTGCATGGTTTTAGCAAACCAAGACATCATAAGTTAGTACAGCGGGCGAAAGAACATGTTTCGTAAAATGGCGATAAAGAAAAAGGAGAGGATTTTCACACACACCTGTGGAGAGATCTCACTATCGTTCATGTTCTATTGTCATCAGCATCTGGCGAAAAAAGAGGAGAGAGAGAGATGTGCGGTCACGTGGAGGGCTGCGAGTGGTGATGTTTTCCGAAACCTGACGGTTTGCATATTCCCGACAAGGGTCGTGGCAGTCATGTGGTATGATGGCATTTTCCACAAGAGGAATGTAGGATGAGACGTTGGAGTAGAGAGAGAGAGAGAGAGAGAGAGAGAGAGAGAGAGAGAGAGAGAGAGAGAGAGAGAGAGAGAGAGAGATGTGACTCATAGTGGGTACAAAGCATAGCATCTCTTCGAGTCTTGACAACTTTTGCATATACTTACAAACAGCGACGATGTTGTTTTGTGGTCTAGCACCTTGAACCCGATGCAATAAGTGGGGTGACAGAGAGTGCAAGAAAACAAAGAAATTCGAATCGTGTAGCGCAAGATGAGAACAAACTTGAATGTTCAAAGGATGAGGCATGAGTTTATAATATTCCATTGGTCAATGCCGGAGATATAGGGCGAAGTAATTGATACTTTTTAGGTGAAATTCATGGGGCTTGTTAACTTAATCTGATAATTGATGTAATGCACCGCAAGTTCAACTTCGTTTAGGGAATGAAGTTAGAGGATAGCACATGGCTTTGGCTGACACCTCTTTCGTCGACATCTTTTCAGTATTCTCATCCTAAACTTGACACTCTCGAACGACAGCAAGAAGCCTATCAAAACCAAACCCTTTAAATTCGACTTGATTGGTAAAGTCACATGCTTTGATTATTAGTCTCAGCAACCATAACGGGGCACTCGAAACCTTAA